ACTCCTGAGACACAGGATAAACATCTAGAACAAATGGACATGCACTTTTTACCTGACTATGGACTGTAAAGATGACTAAGTGAATGTATATCAGTCCTCCATATCTGTTTGTGTATCAATATACAAAAACTCAGTGGAAGCAAACATACTCCTGGTCCTGCATTCCTACTTAAGCTAAAGGTGGTGAGTGTAAACAAGGTTTACTGCACTTGGAAAGGCTCAGGCGTCAATGTGATAAATTGCAGAAAAGAAACTCACCTGGAAAGCCAGCCATGTCCGCTTTGATTTTTTTAAAAGCTAAATGTCATGAGAATGCCCATTTGTGCAACCCCAAGAAGTTTGAAGAGCTAAGGAAGGTGTCCTATGAAGCATATTAACCAAACTTCACAAACCTTGTCTGAACTTTTAAACTTTACACATTCAGCTGCTGCATAATGAGTGTTAGAAACTATCACCCAATTTTAGGTAGTGGGGAAGGCTAAAATAGCTTTAGGGTCCTTCTTGCAAAGTGTGCATCAGCACATTCTTGTTCTTAAGTCCTCTGTTAAGTAATAGGTAGACTGTAACAAATCCATCTTTGCCAGAATGAAAATGTTGCCTTATCTATTAAATGTAAGCAAAATGGCAAAAGCTCCTGCATTTGGGCTGCTCTGAGGAACTGGACTGGATCTATAGCAAGCCTTTATTGCCGTTTTGCAATACACAAGTCTCATCCGCAAGACACAGTGCTGCTTGTTTTCTGTTATCTGTCATGTTGTCCCTCCTTGTTTCTTCTGGAATTTTCCTCCCCAGCTTCATTCTAAGTTTCCTCCTTCTTGTGCTTCAGTTGCCATATGCACAATTCCATGTGTGCTTTTGGCACTGTCCATGGTTCTTCTGAAACAAGGAGTGGAAAGACCTGTCCTATCCAGGCTCAGGCTCTGCAAAACAGGGCAGCAACCTTGAGCTGTATTCCTGCCTCCTTCACCACCCCACATGACTTATCTCTCCAACTTGCAAATGCCCCTCTCCCCTTCCCTCTGAAAAAAGTTCAGCTTCTGGTATTCTTTCATATCTTTCCAACTGTCTTCACTGTCCTGCTTGCTAGCAGAAACACTTGTCTCTTCAGAGTAAATCACATTATCTTCAGTGGCCTTATAACTAAACCCCATTGACTTCAATAGAGTTAACTCTAGTGCAACTCTAACCAATCCACCAGCTCTCAGAGACATAAACATGTCCCACATTCAAGCTATTGATAGCAATCTGACTGTCTTGGACTCTCTGTCCAAGAGTTTGGATGTCTAGATATTGTAGAAATAGCCTTACAGACAGAGCAGAAAGAACCACACCAGCAGCCCCAACAACCAGCCCTTGGAGGGAAGAAAGGTGGCAAGCTGTGGGTGGAGAGGGAAGGAAGCTGGGACCACTGTGCTATTTCCAATCACTGCTCCAGCTCCTTTCTCTCCCCCTTGCTGACTCTAAATGTACATAGCCAAGAACAAGATAAATACCATTTGGAAGGTGCAGTGGCAGCAGAGGTGTGTTTGGAGGCTTATGAGGCCAACAGGAATGTCTCTTTAGTAATTTAAATACAAGAAGCAAGACCCACATAGTTTTAAATAAAGAGCATTTGTGTAAATACATTTCCCTTCTTAGCATCTTCCAAAGAATGGACCTTTCTACAATGAAACGTTAATAAAAGAAAATCTTAATGAAAGTGCCTTGTAGTAGTTACTGCTGATTCAGTGTAAAGGATATCATGGAAATGTCTCTACTTCTCCAAGATTTGGGGATTTTATGTATACATATAATCATTAGGGAAGTGCACAGAACTGCAGACTTTGCACTGTTGCTTGAATCACGGTGTCCACTTTATTGCTGCTGATGACTCTTTAGCAGATTATGTACAAAAAATGCTGATAACCACAACTTGCTTGCTTCTTCGAGGAAAAAAAGCCTTCCATTGTTTAGTGACTGCCATGTCGTGCCAAAATGAGAGAGGCTGCAGAGTAGCAGAGCACAGCATTTTAAGAAGTCAGGACCCCCACCGCCCCCTCCAAGCAGCAGGCCATATTTGTTTGGAGTTGTGATGACCCGAGCTCTTTGGAGAGCAATTTGTGCACAGTTTGGGATCAGACCTATTTCAAACTTGGCTCTGTTAATGAATTATCAGCTACAAAGGGCAGTATTGTTTTAAAATTAGATAGCTTATTATAATTGAAAAACAGGTCCTGCCAGATGGACCTTGTGGAATTCTATGACAAGGTCTCGAGGTAGCTGGACAGAGGGGACTCAGTGGATGTTGTTCACCTGGATTTCAGCAGGGCCTTCAAGAAGGTCCTGCATGATATCCTGATTGAGAAATGGATGAGCTTTGGGATAGCTGGATGCGCTGTCCAAGGGATTAGAACATGGCTGACAGACTGCAAGCGGAGGGTGACTATCATCAGGGAATCATCCATATGGCAGTTGGTGATGAGCAGAGTCCCCCAGGGCTCAGTTCTGGGACTGATTCTGTTCAACCTCTTTATCAATAACATGGAGGAGGGGATAACCAGTCTGCTGCACAAATTCGCAGACGATACCAAAGTGGGGATGGTGGCCACACCTGGAGAGCAGGTACTCCAGGTCCAAACATACTGGATAGACTGCAGAAGTGGTCAGGGGAGAACACAGTGGCGTTCAATGCAGATAAGTGCATTGGGACTTGGGACTCAGGAACAGGTGCCATAGGTACAGGATGGGGGACAGGTGGCTGGAGAGCTGGAGAGCAGCACTTGTGAAAGGGATCTCAGGGTACTTATCAATAACAGGTTGAACATGAGCCAGCAGTGTGATGCAGTGGTTAAGAAGGCAAATGCCACCCTTGGATGTATAGCTAGAAGCATGGCTTCCAGATCAAGATTGGTGTTAGTACTGCTCTATAAGACTCTGCTGCACCCAACTCTGGAGTATTGTGTACAATTCTAAGCTCCACATTGTAAGAGAGACACAGCTAGAATCAGTTCAGCACAGGATGATAGCCAGTTTATGGAGGATGCTGTATGACATGTGATTGAAGGAGCTGGATCTTTTCAGCCTGGAGAAGAAGAGACTCAGAGGGGATCTTATAATGACATATAGGTATGCAAAGGTGTGTCACATGGTAGAGGGTCATGACCTGTTCTTCCCTACAGTGGAGGAAAGGACACAGTCCAATGGGGCAAAACTCAAGGAACTGGGTTTCAGGTTGGATCAGGAAGTACTTCTTGATGGTTAGAAACTCCAGGATATGGAATAGGCTTCCACGGGAGGTAGTGGAGGCCCCACCAGTGAGAGTGTTCAAGGAAAGATTAGACAACCACATGTTGGGTATTACATGAGTGGAGCTGGCTGGACCCAGAGGCCAGACTAGATGACCTGGGAACCCCCTTCTGACTCCTTCGTTTTTCTGAATACGGAATCTGCTGTGCCCCTGTTTGTATGCACTGGGCAAATAAATGAAGCACGCATCCATATAATGTTGGCCAGCAGTGGTCCCAATACTAAAATATGTAAACTATATGATGCAATCATCAGTCAAATGGATGATTTTGATTTTTTAGATGCTGCAGCTGTTTGGCATGAGCAAAGAAAGTAGCAGCAGCACAGGCGATGTGCAGACTCAGCTGCCCCCTGCTGCTGTCCCTGTCCCTGAATCTGGCTAAAAACACTGGGGAGGGGGGTAACATCTTTGGTGGCCGTGGGGTGCCAAATGGGTCAAAATAGGAGCCTATCTTGACAGTTTGGGTGTTCTGCAGCAGCCATGGTAGCCGTTCCAGTTTGATTTGATTTAGCCACATGCATGCTCAGGATGCCCTGTGTGGGTGAAAATGACCCACGCCTCCTGCAGCTGGCCAGCCTGGTATATCAGAACAGATGCTGTGGCTACTTGCATAGGTAGAGAAAAAGTGGGGCAGGAAGGTAGAGTCCCCTAGGTTTTGACTGGGCCTCAGTACCCAGCAAGCCAGTGATGTTGATGCTGGCATTGCTTTAGTTCTTTATTTTGGTGTGGGGACAATTTGCCAGAAGTCTACAGTGCTTGATGCAGAGTGGTTGGGCTGACGGCAGGTCTGGAGCTTTAGTCTCCTCCATCAACACATAGTATCCTGGGGTTCAAAGCATTTGGAGGAAATTAAGATGTTGACAGCATCTACTGATCTTCAACTGGTGCTCCTCTTTTCAGCAGCAAACTTGGCACGACCATCTGTCCCCACTGTCTCCCAGTGCCAAGGGGCCTTACCAGGCACCCTTCAGTCCTTAGGAAGCTTCTTGCAGGAGGAGGACACTAGAAGATCAGGAGGTGCCTTAACCAGCGCCCCTTCAAGCCTGGAGCTGGCTCTGTTTACCATGGGACTGGAAAATCTTTTCCGAGCTGATCAAGCTGGAAGATGGGATGAGGTGATCCTAGAGCAGAGAAAACCATGTCTATCTAACAGGGATTGAGAATCAAAATATATGTTGCTTTTTTGGTGCAGAAATATGAATAGTGCCATCGTTAACAAAAAAAACCTCATTTTCATCTTTATGTTCCATGCCAATGGGTTGCATTTTCCTCCCATTTGCTAGCATGTAGCCAAAAAAGTAATAACTGTCAAAATGTAATAGAAATGGAAAGCTTGTGGTTTGAACATTACCATGAGAGCTTCACTCTTAGAAATGCATAAGAATTGTTTCTCCTGCACATTTCAGATAGGCAAGAAAAGAAGCAATGCTTACTTCTTGGTGTGCTCATTTTTCCTTTATAGAACCATTTTAGCAGCCTCCTGTTATAACAACTGCGAGCTGGGATTTTATGTGCAGTGCACACAAAATCATTTACACATGGGAAAAAAATAACCAGGATGCACACAAATGGTTTATTGTGAAATCCTCACAACCTTTATATGCTTGGGCAGGGAAAAAAAAGTTCCTCAGACAGCTGTATTAGAGAAAGCAAATTTCATTCCTACCACCCTCAAACACATGCCCATTTGAGATTAATGTGAGCCTTATTATTCTTACAGAGATTCCATATCTCTTCCCTTTTTCATCTGGTTGTCAGGATTTGCAAACTTTCCCATAAATACAATGGACCCTAGGAATAAGAAAGAGAAAGGTTGGTTAGAATGTGGTGTTTCAGAACAATGGTACTGAGTAATGGACAGTTGTGGAGCACTTCTTCTGCAGGCTCAGTGCAAACACCCAAGTGAGGTCACAGTCAGATGGAAGGCTGAGCAAGGACCACAGGGCCAAGGGGCAGTGTGTAATAAGTCCAATGTTGTTGTTAGTTGCGAAGTCGCATCCGACCCATCGGAACCCCATGGACAGCATTCCTCCAGGCCTTCCTGTCCTCCACCATCCCCTGGAGTCCACTTAAGCTCACACTGACTGCTCCAGTGACTCCATCTAGCCACCTCATTCTCTGCCGTCCTCTTCTTCTTTTGCCATCTATTGTTCCCAGCATTGGGCTCTTCTCCAGGGAGTCCTTCCTTCTCATTAGGTAGCCAAAATATTTGAGTTTCATCTTCAGGATCTGGCCTTCTAAAGAGCAGTCAGGGTTGATCTCCTCTAGGACTGACTGGTTTGATTGTCTTGCGGTCCAAGGGACTCGCAGGAGTCTCTGCCAGCACCACAATTCAAAGGCCTCAATTCTTCAGTGCTCAGCCTTCCTTAGGGTCCAAGTTTCACAGCCATAGATTGCAACCGGGCAAACTATAGCCTTCGCTATATGCACAATAAGTCCAATACTGAGTATCAATTGCCCAGAGCTCCTGTCCATTTCATTAGCTCACAGAGGGAGGTAATAGAGATGTGTGGACATTATCACATCCATTTCATCTCCATTTTACAGATGGTTAGATAGTTTTCATCACATTTTCTCCTCACCAATAACATTGGATTTCACAAACATTTGTGAAAATGTGTGTAAATCCTCAGAAATTCACCAGAAAATGTGTGTAAATCCTCCATAATATACATATTCCCTAAAAATGCATATTTTCATGTTTTAGCCTAGGGGGGAAATTGAGATTGTTTTATATTATTTTTATCTTTGTTTTTAGGACTAATTTTGTATAACATTATGAAAAACATTTGCTCAATATTGGAAAAGTGAGGAGCTGCCCACCGATGGATTGATTCTAAGAAAGATCTTGGACTGTGCAGAAATGGATAGACTGACTTTATCGTTGAAGAAGAAAGAGGATACTGATTTCTATCGAACTTCGTACTCTTTTTATAATTGGCTGGAGAAACGGGACTTGGCATAAATTTAGAGATGTTTTTCAAACTATGATAAACTAACTGGAATTTGATATTAGAATGTTAAAAAATATGTAGTAGGAGGTTGACCCAGTGAATCTGATGTTAATGTTTGTCATGTTTGATTTTTTTTTAGTATTAGTTTAAAATTTTAATAGAATACACACACACACACACACACACACACACACACATTATGGAAAACAAAAATGGGCTACAAATGACAGAATCTATGCAATTTGGGAAAAGCCAAGGCACTGCAGAATCTGTAGGGTGGATTTTTAGAAATTTGAACTCCTTTGACTCCATTCTGGATTCTTCCAAAAAGCCCAGGTGGTAACTCACGAGGCTTTGGATCCAGGACTTGCTTTCCATTGATGGAAGGTCTCCACTCATGGAAGGCGTCACCTCCTGATTTTCAGGGATTCCTCCCCTCTCCACAATCACACCCCTTTCACCTAAGCTCTTGAATCTCTATAGAACATTTTCAGGGGTGTGGAAGGGCTAGGAAGGGGAGCAGGAAAGTTCTTTCTGCCAGTCCCATTGCAGGTGCCTAACTCTGGATCTGCCTCCATGTTGCTGATTTCATGCAGTAATCATATGCAAGCATCCTTGGTCTGTTGTGAAATTGTAAGCCAACCTACTGAAATCATCATGCATTTCTCCCTCATAATCTCCTGCCTCCATTTCTTTTCTCTCCTCTTTTATTTCTCTTGGCACAGAGGCTGGTCAAACTTGTCCAATGTAAAGCACCAATAATATACACATTTATAAACAAATCTGACACAAGTTTCTTAGAAGCGAATCCAGCAGAATCTAATGGTACCTATGGGCAAATTAGCATGATTAAGCTCATCATCACATTAAGATTGCACGCACTGAGACTCAGGGCCTTTAATACAGCATAATAAATAAAACAGTGAACAACAAAGAGGAATCTGCTCTAAAATACCAGTTTGACTAGAATGTTGATCAAGGCAAATGGCAACCTTTTGTATTTGCAGTGTAATGTCCTATGGATCTACCCAAAATAAATCCATCAATTTTAATGGAACATAAGATAAAGGCAAAGGTTTCCCCTTGACACTAAGTCCAGTCATTCCTGACTCTAGGGGGCAGTGCTCATCTCCGTTTCCTAGCCAAGGGAGCCAGCATTTATCTGGAGACAGTCTCTGTGGTCATGGGGCCGGCATGACTAAACACCGAAGTGCACAGAATGCTGTTACCTTCCCACCGAAGTGGTACCTTTTTATCTACTTGCATTTGCATGCTTTCGAACTGCAAGGTTGGCAGGAGCTGAGATGGAGTAATGGGAACTCACCCCGTTGTGCAAATTCGAACTGGCAACCTTTCGATCAACCAGCCCAGCAACACAGTGGTTTAAACCACTGCAGCACCTGCATCCCTTACTCCCAACTAAATTTGTATTGTCCCAAAGAGTAAAGTAAGGCTGTAACTCTATGCACACTTGCATGGAGTAAGCCTTATAGAATAACATGAACTTAGAAACATAGAAAACATAGAAACAGAGTGAGTCAGAAGGGGTCTCCCGGGCCATTTAGTCTGACCTCCGGCACCAGTCGGCTCTGCTCACGACATGCCTACCATGTGCATGACCAGCCTATCCTTGAACACCCGCACCGATGGGGCCTCAATGACCTCTCGTGGAAGCCCATTCCACACCCTCAGGGTCCAAACTGTCAGGAAATGCTTCCTGGCATCCAAATGGAACCTTGGTTCCCTGAGCTTTGCTCTGTTGGAGCACGTCATGCCTTCCTTTGCAGGAGAGAACAGGTCTTTACCCATCTCCATGTGACATCCCCTCACATACCTGTATGTCACCAACATATCCCCTCTCCTCTTCTCCAGGCTGAAGAGACCCCGTTCCCTCAGTCTCACCTCATACCCCATCCCCTGCAAACCGGCCACCAACCTTGTGGTCCTACTCTGCTCTGACTCTAACCTGGCTATAGCCTTTCTGTAATGAGGGGCCCAAAACTGAGCACAATACTCCAGTTGTGGGTGCACCAGAGTTGTATAGAGTGGTAGTAATACCTCTCTTGATCTAGAAGCCACACTTCTGACTATGCAACCAAGGGTGGCGTTCGCCCTCTTGACCACCGCATCACACTGCTGACTCATGTTTAGCCTGCAGTCAACCAGTTACTTCTGATCAAGCATGCTAGAAATTATAGTGTAAGATAATGAAATTTTTCTTTTTTAATTTGTCTCTAACTTTTCTTGGAACTTAAGCTAACTATATCCAGGAACATTCTGGAGTAACTGACATTGCAGTGACATCCTTCAGAAAGATAATGCATTCTCTCTCACTGTAGAGTAAAAAAAATATATCCTAAAACATAGGAAACAATACCATCTAGCTCAAAGATTGTGCAGTAATAATTCCTTTATCACTTAGGGCTCCTTGAATTCTCCTGATTTACTCTGGGGCTCCAGGTTTCACGTTCCAATTCACTTCAGCTACAGGTTAACTCAGGGAATGTACATAGGACCAGAAGCAAATTAAAGCCTCATTTCAAAACAGCCTGAGAATTCTCACAGGAGATTTCAGCGAACAGTCTTGTTAAGATAGATTCTGTTGTACTAGGAATGTGCAGGCGCCATTTTTTGCTCTTTGCAGAGATATTAATGTCCCTTAGTCCCTAGGGCCTGTTCTCAGTGATCAGGTCAGCATAACATGGGAATGGTTCAGAAGCCAGAGCGGCTCTTGAACCACTGTGCAAACGTCCATCACCTGCCAGCTCACTCTTCTGATTATCCTCACCAGGCAGAGGTTGCCATGGCATCCTACCCTAGCAAGGCGGGGTGGGGAGGGTGGGGGGTGGCTGAATTGGTTAGGTGGCTTGTCCACCATCTCCACGAGCTGCCCTCACTGGGTCTGGCTGTCATGACAACCCAGGCCTGGCAACAGTAATTAGAGAAGGCAAGTGACTTGCAGGCAGCATGTGTGGGAGATGTTAAGTAGCCCCCACGTCTTGTGAACCACCCTCTTGTCATGGGAACAGGCTCAGGATGTACAGCAGACATGTGCGCGATGTACAGAAGAATGCCCTATCCCCATCCCCAGCAGGACCAATTCCTTCTTTGAGAAGAACCCTCCTTATCTTGCCTCCTGGTGGACCTCAGTGTGTCATTGGGCTCCTGCCTTAAAGGTCCACGGATGTCCAACAGGGACCTAGCCCTGGCAGTGGGTGGTGGCAGCAGCAGCAGCATATTCCATGTGGCTGGGTTTGATGGACTGACTACTTGAATTCCCAGAGTGCCCTGGGGTAACACCATGTTTCTCCGGGGCATTGTGGGAAATGTTAAATGGTGGCACAGCACCACCAGACCCAGCTGCACAGGCAGACCCATGCATGACAGCACCAGAGCACTGGAGAAAGAGCTATGTCACCAGAGACAGGTGTCTTATATGGTTACAGAAGCACCCAACACAAGCAAAAAGCATTAGTTTTTAATAAGAGCAATGTTTGGGCTAAAGATTTACCATGACACTTTGGAACACCTTTTCTGCTGTTCTGAGTTGAACAATGACTTCTTGTAACACCACAGGTACACTTGAGTTTGTGGCGCATTTTACCTTCCCAGGAGTCTTGGGTTAGTTAAATGATCCACAAACAGATTTGTGAATATTTTTAGGGTGGTTGGATGTGGGGTTAAGCATGCAGAGAACAAGACCTCAACACTGAAAATGATAGTCAACCATGCAAAAAGCAAAGCGAAGCAAACACTGGATCCACTCTTACACCTCTAATAGTATAAAGAGCACCCATGTGGTGTAATGGTTAAAAATGCTGGACTGGGATTCTGGAG